CCGCCGCGCATCCGCTCCAGGTCCTGCATCCAGCCCCCGTGCACCCGCTCCAGGCATTGCTTCCAAACGGGGTGCACCGAAGTCAGGCCCTGCATCCAGACGCTGTGCACCCACGCTCGGTCCTGCATCCAGCCGCCGTGCCCGGGAGCCAGGTTCTGAATCCCGCCGCCGTGCACCGGAGTCAGGGCCTGCATCCCGCCGCCGCCGTGCATCCGCTCCCGGTCCTGCATCCAGCCGCCGTGCCCGGGAGCCAGGTTCTGAATCCCGCCGCCGTGCACCGGAGTCAGGGCCTGCATCCCGCCGCCGCCGTGCATCCGCTCCCGGTCCTGCATCCAGCCGCCGTGCCCGGGAGCCAGGTTCTGAATCCCGCCGCCGTGCACCGGAGTCAGGGCCTGCATCCCGCCGCCGCCGTGCATCCGCTCCCGGTCCTGCATCCAGCCCCCGTGCACCCGCTCTAGGCATTGCTTCCAAACGGGGTGCACCAAAGTCAGGCCCTGCATCCAGACGCTGTGTACCCACGCTCGGTCCTGCATCCAGCCTCCGTGGCTCGGAGCCTGGTCCTGTATCCGGTCTCCGTGCACCCGAGTCAGAGCCTGCATCCCACCGCCGCCATGCATCCGCTCCCGGTCCTGCATCCAGCCGCCGTGCTCCTGGGCCAGGCCCTGCATCCCGAAGCCGTGCACCCGCGTCAGGCATTGCGTGCAAACGGGGTGCACCCACGTCCGGCCCTGCATCCAGACGCCGTGCACCCGCGCCTGGTCGTGCATCTAGTCGCCGTGGCCCGGAGCCAGGTCCTGCTTCCGGCCGCCGTGCACCCGAGTCAGGGCTTGCATCCCGCCGCCGCCGTACATCCGTTCCCGGTCCTGCATCCAGACGCCGTGCACCCAGGCCAGGCCCTGAATCCCGAAGCCGTGCACCCGCGTCAGGCATTGCGTGCAAACGGGGTGCACCCAAGTCCGGCCCTGTATCCCGACGCTCTGTGCCCGCGTCCGGTCCTGCACCCAACCGCCGTGCCCGGGAGCCAGGTCCTGCATCTGGTCGCCGTGCACCAGAGTCAGGGCCTGCATCCCGCCGCCGCCGTACATCCGCTCCCGGTCCTGCATCCAGCCGCCGTGCCCGGGAGTCAGGTCCTGAATCCCGCCACCGTGCACCGGAGTCAGGGCCTGCATCCCGCCGCCGCCGTACATCCGCTCCCGGTCCTGCATCCAGCCGCCGTGCCCGGGAGTCAGGTCCTGAATCCCGCCACCGTGCACCGGAGTCAGGGCCTGCATCCCGCCGCCGCCGTACATCCGCTCCCGGTCCTGCATCCAGCCGCCGTGCCCGGGAGTCAGGTCCTGAATCCCGCCACCGTGCACCGGAGTCAGGGCCTGCATCCCGCCGCCGCCGTACATCCGCTCCCGGTCCTGCATCCAGCCGCCGTGCCCGGGAGTCAGGTCCTGAATCCCGCCACCGTGCACCGGAGTCAGGGCCTGCATCCCGCCGCCGCCGTACATCCGCTCCCGGTCCTGCATCCAGCCGCCGTGCCCGGGAGTCAGGTCCTGAATCCCGCCACCGTGCACCGGAGTCAGGGCCTGCATCCCGCCGCCGCCGTACATCCGCTCCCGGTCCTGCATCCAGCCGCCGTGCCCGGGAGTCAGGTCCTGAATCCCGCCACCGTGCACCGGAGTCAGGGCCTGCATCCCGCCGCCGCCGTACATCCGCTCCCGGTCCTGCATCCAGCCGCCGTGCCCGGGAGTCAGGTCCTGAATCCCGCCACCGTGCACCGGAGTCAGGGCCTGCATCCCGCCGCCGTACATCCGCTCCCGGTCCTGCATCCAGCCGCCGTGCCCGGGAGCCAGGTCCTGAATCCCGCCACCGTGCACCGGAGTCAGGGCCTGCATCCCGCCGCCGCCGTACATCCGCTCCCGGTCCTGCATCCAGCCGCCGTGCCCGGGAGCCAGGTCCTGAATCCCGCCGCCGTGCACCGGAGTCAGGGCCTGCATCCCGCCGCCGCCGTACATCCGCTCCCGGTCCTGCATCCAGCCGCCGTGCCCGGGAGTCAGGTCCTGAATCCCGCCACCGTGCACCGGAGTCAGGGCCTGCATCCCGCCGCAGCCGTGCATCCGCTCCAGGTCCTGCACCCATCCGCGCTGCCCGGGAGCCAGGCCCTGAATCCCGCTGCCGCCGCCGCCGCCGCCGCCGCCGTGCATCCGCGCCAGGCCCTGCTGTCGATAGCCGTACTTCCAGGTCCGGTACTGCTCTTGGCAGCCGTGGAACCGCACGAGGCCCTGAGGTCGGCCGCCGCGCTTCCAGGCCAGTCATTGCGCCCGGATGCTCTGCTTGTGTGCCAGGCCCAGCTTCCGGTAGCCGTTCATCTGGGCCAGGCCCTGTCCTCAGCCACCAGGCCAGTCCACCAGGCCCTGCTCTCCAAAGCCACGCATCCGGGCCTATCCCTGCGCTCTGCAGTCGCCTCACTCCGCTAAGCACCGCCCTCCGCAGCGGGAGTAGCATTGCAGGCTTTGTTCTGAGGAGCCGACCCACCCAGAGAAGATCAGCTCCTAGCAGCCGCCCCTCTCTTTCTGGGGCTGGTGGCCAGAGCCCTACTTGCCCTGGGTGCGCCTTAGGAAGGCCCGTCTTCCAGAGCAGCTCAAGCTCTTCTGATCCTGAGGTCCCAAGCCTGCCCTCCCAGCCGCGTTGGCATGCAGTCCGTATGCGTGCCTCCTCACCCTCACCTCCTGGTCGGTACTTTCCTTTCCCTGGGCGGTATGGTGCAAGGTCCTCGTCCTCGTCCTCGTCCTCGTCCTCGTCCTCGTCCTCGTCCTCGCCCTCGTCCTCCTCCTCCTCCACCTCCTCCTCCTCGTCCTCCTCCTCCTCACTCCTCTCTTTTAATCCAAACCTTAATCAGTTTATTACTTTAAAGGCACCCTTTTCCTGCTGGAAACCTGGCCTGACTGTGTCCTGGCAGGTCTTTTGCAGGGCGTTAATGACCCTCTGAGATTTCATTCCTGTTCAGCAATCTACTTATGAGATCATCTGAGAAACTTACAAATAGTCTGTATATATATTTTTTCTTTTTTCTAATTTCCCCCCGCCCCCCTCCCTGTCCCCCTTCCCGTCCTCCTCCCTGTCCCCCTCCCCTTCTCCCAGGCTTCCTGGCCAGAGCCCCTCTTCCCCCACTCATTTCCCTGGCTAGAGCTGCTCTTCACCTCAGCCTGGTGGTGGCTTGGGCTCCACCTCCACTCCTGGCACTGCTAGCCTTAGGCGTGCCTTGCTGCTGGAGTTTGATGCCCTGAGCTCTGTCTCTCCATGAGAGCAGGCCGACATAGGGAGCATCCCTTAGCCCCTGCGCCTTCTGTGTTGTGACCCTCCATGTGTATCCTCTTAAGTCCCAAGGAAGGAATCAGCATCCACTGCGGTTAATGGGATGCCTACTTCGCTGTTACCTGTGAGGTTTCCAAGAGCTGTGTGAGCCAGCAAACAACCTTGTGAGTTCTGAGGCCCCCTCTTCCCAGGACTCCATCACCTAGCACTTAGCTGCTGTTGGCCCTTTGCCCCTGAGTTGAGATTCCCCTTTTCCAGGTTGTAATGGATTTTTGATGAATAAAATTTAAATGCTGGCTTGATTTTTTAATGTACCCTGGTTTTTAAATGAGGTGAAAGGGTTTGTGGTTTATCCTGATTTACTTAAATGCGGGGATTTGGTGTGGGAGCTTGCAACCAGAATTTGTTGCAAATATTGCGCATGCATTTCTGGTTTGGTGTTTGCTATTTAGTTGTTCCCTTTTTATATGGCTGTTTGGTCAGATTGAAATCCTGTGCAGCCACCACTGCCATCATCTCTCCAGAATCTCCATCCCCTGGTATCCTCACTCCTTGAACTTGTGCTGCCTCCACTTAGGCCTTTCCCCAATGGCCGATGATAAACAGCGTCTAGAGTCAGCCCCTGGGTAACTTTCAATAGGACACAAAGGGACCCATCGCCTGCACTAACAGACTAAACTGGAGAAAACGAATTAAACTCTGGAAAGAAACCAAAAACCTACTGGGCATGCTGTTAAAAATGTCGGGACTCAAGGAGATGTTTCTGGGAACACATAGTTTAAAAGCTAATACATAGCTCATATTACTTTTGAGTAAGTCTATAGATGTTTAAGGACTAGATCAAGAACGTAGGTCTTTTTGATTTTCTTTTACTGCATGCAGCATGTCTCACAACCTCAGTTCAGAGGGCCTACATTTATTCCCATGTTACTGATGTGGAAATTGAGGCTCAGACCAGTTTTGTGACTTTTGAGATCTCATCGCCAGTAGGGCTTAGCTCTGGAGTCAGAATTCTGGTGTTTTCATCAACTCCCTGTGTGTTTCTTTACAAGTTAGTGAATATGGGATTCTAAGTTTCCTCATTTGTCAATGTGGCACAATAAGAGTGCATGCTTCCTAGTTTGTGCTAAGGATAGTGCCCGTTGATGTTTAAAATAATCGTGTTAATTCTTTGTTACCGCACAGGATTAAAATAAGGCTATCAGTAATCTGATAGGTTTTTGGGGACCAGGCTGAAATTGAATTGCCCTGTACTGGCTGTCCCAGTGTAGTAGGTTCACCAGGCCTGTGTACCAGAAAGTGTCCAACTGCAAGGTTTGCCTCCCTCGCAGCTCAGTCTCAGCTACTTTCCGAAAGGCTCCCACAACTTCCTTCTCTGTACCCAGCTCAATTTCCCTGGAGGGTAGGGCAGGTGACAGGGCAGTGTATATGGCTGCAGATCCTGCTTCTCTGGCCCTCTGGCTTTCTTTTAGTTGTCTTTTTGGCCACCAGGATCCTGATCCCGGAGCGGACCGGCAGGCGGCCGCAAGACCCTGACACCATGACCAAAGTGACTGTGCTGCTGAGGGCAAGTAAGGGTGAGGCTGGAGGTGGGGGTGGGAGCGAGGGGAGCAGGGATCCCTGGGATGCTCACGGCTGAGCGGCTGTTCTCTTCCTTACCCTGCCTATGACATTCTCAGCCATAAATGAAAATCTGGCCAAGTCATAAACCTGTAGTGTTGGCTTGGGAATGGAAGGGGTGTAGTGATGGAGAGGGTACTCAGGTTTTAAGAACTTACTGGGCAGTCCTTTGTCTGCACTTCTAAGATTGTCCACTTGTTGAAAATGTGGCCGAGACCCTTCCCTCGATCCTAAAATATCAACTTTACTGGTATAACATGGCAAACTAAGTATCTGTAGTATCTTCTCCTAAGAGACTTTTTACATCATCCATACATACCTGGAGATTGCGTATATCCATGCTCATTGTGTTACTTACCAGCCCTGTGGCCATGGAAATGGTCCTGAAGTTCTGTGCGTCCCTGTGATCTCATATGAGAAAAGGGGAATAACATGCCATATTCTAAATGTAGTGGCAAGTAATTTCAAGAACATACTTCAAGTATTTAAGACAGCAGAAAGGAATTGCATTTATTATATCTATATTATTTCTAAATTCATTTCTCGATGATTTCCTTTTTATAATTTTCATTGGACTTATTTTTAGTTTTCTTCTATGCCAAGATTCAGGAAGTGTTCTGGATGCTGGATGGGTAAAAACTAACATAACTTGATCCTTTTCCTCAAGCATCTTAGAGTCTAGTGTGGTAGGTAGACACACAAAGAGACAAATTACATGAAGGGGCTTAATGTGAAGAATTAGTGGTCTTTTAGGGGCATCATGAGAACGCAAAAGAGAGACACAAAGAAGAAGCTGCAGGCCGTGCTGGACTGGGGGCGAGTGGCCAAATCAACAGGATACCGGAGAGAGCCCTCCTTGTGAGAGTGAAGGAGCTCACTGTATTCGTCAGTTCCACTAACATGCGGGTTCCCATTCTTGATTGTGTCAGGGTAGCCCTAAACGCCATCTATGCCTCACCTAGAAAATAAACCGCTGAAACAGGGAGCTCTGGGAACACAGAAGAACACCATCTGGAGCTATTTACTACGCTTATTTTTCAAATGCAGTAACTGAGGCACATAGAGGGTCAGAATTTCGCACAGTCACACAGCAAGTTCGTAATAAAGCAGAGATGAACCAGGTAGCCTGACCCCAGAGTGTGCCCTGTGAGTCAGTTCACTCCATGGAGGAGGACACAGGAACTTGGCCAGGCCCCTTATGAAACTGGCTATGAAATTGGCAGCAGAGATTCAATCCAGACCTGTGTGACTCCAATTCTCCCTACTCTCAATCTACCCCCTAACCTGCTGTTCCGCCACACTAGATGCTCAGTAATTGGTAGCCCCCTCTCCTAGTCTACTTCATTGGCCCTGTACATTGAGCAGATATTTATCATGCACCTACTATGTGCCAGTCCGTGTGCAGTGGGGTGAGAGACAAATCAGGCACATTCCCTGTGTTCAGTCTAGAAAGAGAGACGGAAATGGGTTGTGTTATATTCATCTGCTTGGGCCACCATAACAAAAGACCACAGGCTGTGTGGCTTAAACAACAGAAATTGTTTTTTCACAGTTCTGGAGGCTACAAGTCCAAGATCAATGTGTTGGCAAGTTTGGTTTCTTCTGAGGCCTTTCTCCTTGGATCGCACGTGGCTGTGTATCCTCTGTGTCTGTGCATATCCCTGGTGTCTCCCTGTGTGTGTATCCAAATTCTCCCTTCCTGTAAGGACGCTAGTCAGATTGGATTAGGGCCTTAACTTAATCACCTCTTTAAAGGCCCTATCTCCAAATACAACTACATTCTGAAGTACTGGGACTTCGACATATGAATTTTGGGGTGACATCTGTTGCAACACAATTTTAAAAATAAGCTTTCTCTTCCAGTCAGGTTGACTTCAGGCCTCAAATAGAATGAGCTGTAGAGAATAATATTGAATGTCAACTCTAATTGAAAAAAAAAATTTGTAAGGAAAAAAATAGGATGAAATGAGGAAACAGAAACTCGGAAGCCACATCTCAAGCATTCTGAAGATGCTGCTACAATTTTGGTTGACTTAAAAAGCAGAGATTTGAAGCACTATAACCTGTGGCCCAGGAATAATTTACTAAGCACTTACTATGAGCCAGTTGCTGTTTATATACACATGTATATATGTATATACATATAAATGTATATATTATGTATGAGTGTATATATATATTACACATATATAATTTAATACTTGAAAAACATGTCCAAGAGGTAAATACTGGTCTTATTCACATTTAGGGATGAGGAATCATAGATAGGAAGAAGTTTGAGCAAATTACGCCCAAGGTTATTTAGCAAAAAATAACCGAGGCTGCATTCAAACCTATATAATATTCTGAATCCAGTCCAATCTTTTACTGTGATGTTATTTTGCTTACAATGGAAGAAGTCTCTCCCTGAAACAAGGAATGCCATTAACATTATCAAGTCACACAGTTATTCTTCTGTTGCCCCGTTTAAGAAAAAAAAAAAAAAAAGCAATGTTACAGAGATCGTGTAACAAATTGTCATTAGAAGCAATTAAACTCTGCATCAAGTACAAAATGAATCCTCAATGAATAAGTCAACAGTTATTCCATGAGTACCTACTTTGCTTTGCACTGAATTAGGTATCAGCTGTATCAGAGTAGGTTAAAATCTTACTCTCTCTAGTCAAAGATCCTATAGTCCAGTTTGAATAACAGTGCATATACACCTGGTACACTGGTAAAACTGCAGGGAGTTTGATGTGCAGTGAGAGGGTTGGGTCCTTGAATCAGATATATCTTCACCTACCTTGAATTAATTTGGGCCTCAAGGGAAGACCCTTAGCCTGTTTGTTCATCTGTAGTTTAGGGATGGTAAACTATGCCTCTATTGGCTGTCATGAGCATCAGGTTATTTCTGGCACAGAATATATGCAAAAAATCAGCACGCTGACAAAGTTGTGTATGGACCGTGTAGGTAAGTTTCAACTACAGTTTCACCTGGAGCTGGGTAGAGTGCCCTGTTATTCTCCAGGAACATGGAAAGATTTCTGAAATGGTGCCGCAAGACCATTTCTCACCATCTGCCTATTTTGAGAGAGGCGGGCACAGGCAGTTTCTTATCACCTCTCTGTTTCCGAGACTTTTCATCTTGCTTCTTCCCCCCACCTTAGAGTACAGCTGAAGGCTATCGAATGGCCTAAAGTCTACCTGCAATATAGAAATAGCTCCTAAGCAACAGAGTTCCACGCCACTGATGATGCCTGTCATTCTGTTTTGTTGTCATTCTGTGGAACAAGAGAAGTGGGAGCTGACACCATATTGATTTTACTTTTCCTGACTATGTAAATAATACAATGAATCTATCTGGGCTAGTTGTTACTTACTGGCCACATCTGCCAGCTTGTTTGACACTAAGCTTTT